TAAGGCAAAATAATCTGCCGAAGAAATATCATTTACAGTGTAACAACGCACACTTGTCTTTTCTTCAATTTTGGCTATTTAAAGACTTTCGCTTTTAAAATTTCAAAGTTGTGACTTTCCCTCGCTTCCTCTGCACTTACTTCGGCCGAACCATATTGGATCCCAGACCAGCCTCCAACTGTGTAATTTGAGGGTCGTCCTACTATTGGTGTAGCTTGTGTTTTTTTTTCTACAAGTTTTTTTATGTTTTTTTACTAGCAAAAGGTTTGATGGATTAGACTTTAAGCCTAATGATAGATAGATTCAACCTACACAATAACAGTCAAGAATTAACGATGAAGTGCTTAGGAATAATGTGCAGCCAATTAACTTAAAATCCAAGATTGGTTGTTATCAATATACATACGCACAGTGACTTTGACTTGAATATTTTTGTTGTATTTTTAGATATTGGTTCAAAATGCAAATCCTTTCTGCAAATGATGTCAAAATCTACAATTTAAGTGCAGGCAAGTCAATCCCAGACTGGATAACAGATCGAAAAAGACGCAAATTGGAACAAAATGATATAGGTGTGAATGAATTCTGCACAGCTTTGTAAACTATCTATTTTTTAGTGTATTTAGACTATGCATAAAACTTGATTCACTAATTTTTTCACAGATCTGAGAAGAAGAATACAGTTGATACAGGATTTTGACATGCCCGACATTAGCAATACAATCACGGTATCTCCTGACAGACGTTATATATTTGCCACGGGTATGACAATTCAATCTTTTTAATGCTGTTCTTTCAACTTTTTGTTACATGTTGGCGGTAAGAATGACTTATAATTTAATAACGGCGGAATGTGCAGAACTAAACTGGCAATATGTTTAAATAACATTTTTCCGTCAGTGCCACATTTCAGTTGTATACGGAATTTAAGTTACTGAGGGGAACATTCTCCTTATTAATCTAACTGTTTATCTTTTCGTACTGGAATCGCATTGTGTGAATTGTAGCAAACATTTAAAACTTGGTATAAAATAAGTTATAAGTCCAGAAATGCAGTTAATCGCACAAATCCAAGGTCCTACACGTTTATGTATTTAGGTACTTATAAACCAGTTCTAAAATGCTTTGATGTAAGTGATCTGTCGCTAAAGTTTTCGCGTGGCCTCGATGCGGATGTTGTGAAAATGGCTGTTCTTAGTGATGATTATTCTAAAGTAGGCTACATTTTTAGACATATTCCGTTGACTAAAAACTGACTGAATTAGAGACAGAATTTATCATAGTGATGATATGAGACTTTTTTCTCCGCTGATATTTTTATTTTGTTAGCACTCGAGTTTAGGTTTTTTAGTTTATGAAGGTATGTTAGCAGGTTTATTTCATTGGAAAAGCTTCATGAAGTAACTTCGTTCGTTGAACATTTTTGCTGGACTTATTGAGGAGGTCGTTTTCTTTCAGTTCGTGTTGTTGGAGGAAGAACGGTATGTGGAGGTGCATGTGGCTTATGGAAGGTATTTTAGGATGAGGATACCCAAATTTGGTTATGATATGGCTTTTTGCCATGAAGTGAGTGATCTCTACATTGTAGGAAGTGGGTAAGTTTGGTTGAACATTTCTGTCAGTATTTTATAAAGATATTTTTCTAATACTTTTTGTAAAATTCGGCAAAAATCATGTCATAGACTATAACTTCTTTGCTTCCATAATGTCATTTTTTAGCTAATATAAAGTTTGTGTACTAAACTGAAATCTTGAAAGTTTTATCCTCTTTTGCATTTTAATTCAGTTATGTTTTTCCCCTCACTGCAATCGGTTCCTCTATTTAAGGAACAAATATACGGTTCAGGCCTTTGTCTACTTGTCTTTTATCGCATGATTTAAGAGAAAGTTAACATAGTAAACATACTTTAACACTTGTCGTCTTTTCCAAGAAAGTAAATAATGTTCTTTTTGTTGATTTGTTAAGCAGCAGGCTAATTGTATTTGCTTTTTTTGAATATCGGATCATTGTTCATTGACTAAACAAACTCGTATGGAAATGGAATAATTGATGAAATAAGAAAACTGGTAATATTAAATCTGGTAGAAATTATTGTAATTGCAGCAGCGAAATTTTTCGCCTAAACTTGGAAGAAGGGAAGTTTTTGACACCTCTAATAACTTCGTCTTCGTCACTGACATGTTGTGAGTTCAACAGAGATCATCATTTGTTTGTCAGTGGGACAAATGATGGCCGAATTGAAGCTTGGGATCATAGAGACGGAGATCGATGTGGCATTCTTAACTGTGCTTTATATTTTAAAGCAAATAACAGGCAATTTCAAACTTTTCGATTTCCATTACTATTATATGACAACTTAGATTTTCTGTTACATTAATTGATTATTTCTTATAACGAATAGTTCATGCTTTATATTGCTACTTTTCATTTACTTCTATGGAATACTAAATCTTTCAGCGAATTGCCGATAGTGACTTCAGTATGTTTCAAAGATGCGCTTCATTTGGGAGTCGGGGCGAGTACTGGTCATGTAAGTTTTTGAAATTATTTTCATTCAACATATCGCAGTCAGTTTCCATTTCTCTACACCGTCTTTCCAGGTTTTACTATTCGATATTCGATCTAACAAACCTCTGCTCATCAAGGATCATCAAACTGGTTTGCCGATAAATAAAATTGATTTTGTACCGGAGCACAATCTTGTTTTGAGTATGGATATGCGTTTATTGAAAATATGGGAAGAAATTGATGGTAAACCATTCGCAGCAATCGAACCTGGATCTAATCTAAGTGACTTCTGCCGGTATCCAGACTCTGGTTAGTTAATTACGTAAAACAAAGTAAACAATTTCAACGCAGATGCACCGTTTTTCGAACTCCGCAACAGCTCCATATCTGATTTTAAATTTATACAGTGTGGTTTTATTATAAAATTTTATATATACAAACTTCAGGGCTTTTATTTTTTGCTAATGAAGCTCCTAAAATGCTACAATATTTTGTTCCGGCTCTCGGTACAGCTCCTAAATGGTGTTCATATCTTGAGACGATCACGGAAGAATTAGAAGAAACAGAACAACCTGCAGGTTATACATATATTTCATGCAATCTCTCTGGAAAAATGACAGATTCATGCTGTATCTGTCATTTTTTGACATTCACAAAACTTTTGTTGCGTTTTACACACTTCTATAGTGCGTTTACAATGTAATTTTATCATACGATTTTCCCCATAATCCGCTTCCATTGATGTTATTATTAGCAAAATTTTTTTAGTATATGATGATTACAAGTTTGTGACGAAAGAGCAACTTGAAGAAATCGGTCTGTTACACCTTGTTGGAACTGGCCTTCTGCGTGCATATATGCATGGATACTTCATTGATATTCGATTATATAATAAAGCGAAGACATTCACGCAACCATGGGCATATGAAAATTATAAGCAGAGAAAGGTAAGGTAAGATGAATATCTGAGCAGATATCTCACGTGTTTTGGTACTCCATTATTGTTTTTTATTCTTAATAAGATGTAGTAAATATTTTAATGCAACTGTAATATTGGTAAATAGAGTTCGTGTGCATAAATTTTTTTATTTTAATATTTGCAGGTAATGGAAAAAATTGATGAAGAACGTTCCTTGTCAACTGCAATCAGGAAATCAAGGAAGCCTAAATTACCAAGCGTGAATAAAGAACTAGCTGAGAAGTTGTTAACTTCGATAGAAGAAATGAAAAACGTTAATGGAAGGACAAAGAGAAAGGTTTCTGAGCTAAATACAGGAAATAACAAAGTATATTTTACTTTTGGATATTGATGTCTCTTATAGAATGAGGATGCGACTTCCATATTGTCAGACGAACGTTTTGGTTCTCTGTTTACAAATCCTGATTTTCAAATTGATGAAAGCAGTGAGCAGTTTCAACTGCTTGTCTCAGCTATAAAAAAGCTAGGAGAAAAACGACAGTCATTGTTGAAAAAAGATGATGGTAGGACAAACAATAGCAACAAGAAGGTATCCTTACGAGCTCTTAAAGCACTTGCACATTTAATTCTGCCGAATTTGCAAGTTCCAGGTGTGCTTTATTTTTCATAATTCGGAATAACTGGGAATTAAACTCACATTTGTTGTTGTAAGTTTTTATCACGATTTAATACTCAAGATATATATATATATATATATATAGTCAGAAATACGAAGTATGGAAGATCTGGACATCTATGAAAATACAATCATTGCTAGCAGGAGAAGTGATGATGGAAGTTTCACTGAAATTGATGTCAAAGATGAAGAAAATAATGTAGTAGGAAAACCATCTGTAAGTTCGTTTAACTGTACTGTTGAATTTTGTAGGAATGTTTAATAGATGGATCTCGAATCAGCGTTTCTTCAGTATTTATTATATTAAGGCAACTTAATCGATTTTTACAATTTTTGCTCCAAAATAAGCATCTTTTAGATGACCAGTGATGAGGAAGGTAGTGATGACGAAGGAATGCAATCGGCAGTGCGAGAAAAGCGGAAAATTATAAAACCAAAAGGTTTTAACTTAATCGAATCAGATATCGGTGAAGACACCGTACAATACTTCAAGGAGAATAACGCTAATGAGAATGCTATTTCATTTTTTGCTCAGGTTCTGTTTTTGCTTTTGTAACCTGTTATAATCTGAATGCTAAACTCATCTTTGCATTGAAGCTTTGTCTTTAACAGACGGGTAAAAGTAAATAATCTAGCTTTAAGAAATGAAATTAAAATTAAATGAGACGAATTTTTTTTAAGACTGAGGCTGAAACGATGGGTATGAAACGCAAGGTGTCATCAGAAGTTGTGGGCGGAAGTAAACAATGCATACCATTTGGTGGGCTAGAAATGACATTTGAAATGAAAACTTGTGGATTGGCTGCAAAAAAGGAATGTTTGGCAAGAAAAGAAAAGGAACATTTAGTGGAAAGAAAGGAAATTAGACGAGATATAAAAAGAATAAACAAAGTGTTGAAAAAAGTTCCCGTATGGAGGACAAGTCGACGGAAAAGATCCACTGAGTAAAGTGATTGGGCATTTGTATAATAATTTGAATACATATTGCAAGGGATTCATAATCTTCTTAATTTTTTTTTATAGAGAACTATAAATGTATTTACAGCAACAACCACGGTGAATGTACTTAAACTTTGTTGTCTTATCATTCTTTTTGCATTAATAAAAGATGCTTTGGTAACAGATTGGATTCTAAAGTCGGGGAAATAGGTAATCTGCGTATAAATGGACAAATAAGCAGTGAAACGTGGCATTAGAGGCAAATTTTAATAGAGTTTCTACGATTGTAAGCATGAACATATTTCATAAAAAACATCTGTAATACAGTCAACAGCATCAGATATTTTGCAGTACCGCAAAGAATATGTTCTACTTTATTGTGACAAACACATTCTCCATAAATGTTGTGCGAGTACAACTTGTTGAAATTTTTAACGTTTACTATACTATTGTGAAGTTTATTTAATATGAGATGAAACAGAGCACCAGTACAGTAAGTATTGATAAATTCAGCTGACAGAGAATATACAGCTTAAAATAAATTGAGCAAATGGATTCGAAGGCTCGTGGAAAAAAAGTATAAATGTAGGGAAGTTTTGCAAAACTTTCTAGGAAATTTACATGTTAGTGAGGGGAAGCAACCACATTTCTTGTTCACATTCCTGAAGTCCGGGAAATTAAAACATATGTAACGAAGGGTTTTAACTTAAAGGACTAGTTCAGCAAGATTTGATGGTTTTTTTTTCTGATGTTTTAGAAAGTTGCAAGTAATGAGTGGAACGAACTAGGAAATAAATCCAAAAAGGGTGTGGACGCACCGCATTTTGTTACTCTGGAATACGTCTCGACTCCTAATTTTCAAGATCTGTTGGAAACTTTGAGAAAGTAGCTTGTCAGCAACTTCCGCACTAAATATCACCAATTGTTTCAAGCGTCGATTTCCTGCAGAACTCTGTCAATTTGTGCGACTGCTGCTAGGCTTTCTCGCCATTCGTCTTCATCCAGGACCTGCTCTATGATTTCCGTTTACATTTTAACTAATGACTGATCAAAACGCCCATTGGATTATTAAATAGTGACGATCTTCCTTTTTTGACTATTTTTGCTTATTTATTAGTGAAATGGAAACGAGATTTATGCTGATTGCAATAGCAATTTGTAAGTTTTCTTTAATCGCAACAAATGGTTTAGGCACTTTCAGTGCTATCTTTTAATGTGAAAATATGGCGTTCAAAGTCTGAAGCACTGGAAATCTTGGCTGCATTAAAACATGCCGGTGTAACTGTTATTTACAAGTCATTCACAATAAGTTACTTTTCAGTGGTATTTTTGGTGCTTGAGCTTCAAAGAACTTATTTAGAAGGAAGATTTCACTCAAGTAATCCAAAAACTTCATTACAAAAAAACAGTAACCTTTGTTGCAGTTCGCAAGGAATCACGGTCGGTTTGAATTGAATGATCCTCATAAATTCTTCCACCTTCATCCGATGCGACGTAGGTTATTGGGCGCAGTTCACTCACTATCACCTCACTATATTTATAAAAAATGCAGTGTCATACAAGAAGCCAGAATTACTGTTACAGAATTGCTTGTATACATATGTTTCAAATTAATTAAGAACAAACTTTAAGCTTACACTGAACTGGTCTTATTGAAGTTGTCTTTCCATGAATATTTTAAAGCTTTATTTTGTTGTAATGATAGTGGTGCAGCAGTATTAACTGGCATAATGTGGCTTGAACTATTCGGCATAGTGTGGTTTGAGGTATTCCAGCAATTGGACGAATAAATATTGTCCATTTGCAGTCTATCGGTTGTCGCCAACGGTAGGAACCATTCTTTTCTTTTCTTCTGTTTTCGTTCTTAAACCAATTGATTTCCTACCCTTTTTAATTAGAAATGGATTTAATTAGAATGTAGTGATATTACTTGAGTTGTATAGAGACTTGCCAATGATTCAGCAAATAATACTTTAAAAACTTCTCACATAATTCAGGTAGAAATACCTTTCCAGTAAGACAAAAGTTTCACAAGTTGGTAATTTTTTCGTGTGCAAGCAATTGCTTCAGCTGTTTGTCCTCCATTATTGAGCAATCGCGGTTCAGCACCATTTTCCAGCTGGAAAAAATTATTCCAAAATTATTGATAATTGATTGAAATTATTGAGAAATAATGATAAGATATTAACATTATGAATGTTCGATTATTTCTACTGTTTTTTACAAGCAGTGCTACCATTCATCAGAAATGTACGGATCTCATAAAATAGGCTCATAATGCCAATTAAATTATGATCATCAAAATGGAATATAGTTTTTACAACGGTCAATTTTTACAATAGCCAATTATCATCACTACAGGTGCAGTTGGCAGCTTCATTCAAACCATTTCTTTTTCCTAATTTTTAAATTTCTTTCAAATCATAACACAAACACAATTAGTTTCCTTGCCATTTCCTTTTTATTTTATGTTTCTAGGACCGCTGCTATAAAGGTACTGTAAACAGCGAAGTACTGTAAGTATTTCTTTGAAGAAAAACGGCTCTCATCAGTACCTTAGCCCAGCAGTTTCAGTATTCATCGCTTCTTAACTTTGTATTTGTCTAGGATCTCTTTTTCACCACGTCATTTCCTTCTCCTTCGATTAAAACAATGCTTCCATTATTTTACGAGATGCATTTCGTAAAGTGCAGGAAAAGATGCACTTATAAAATGATTTAAAAACTGACCAAATACTGTGCAGCATCAATATGATTATTGATAGCTGTAAGATGAAGCGGAGTGTTACCACATGAATCTCGCAATGCAAGTATCTGTCGTCGACGCTTATGAGAAATTGTGTGGAGTAAAACATAGAGTGCAGCAACGCTTCCACTATCTAAAGGAAACTACTCTGTAAGATCATTTCTTAATTCAATACTTGGTTGAGAATTAAATCTATTGGCGAATCATTTCAAGTATATATGAAGTACACATGTATACTTCCAAAAATAACAGAATTGATCAAAGTTCCACTCCATTTTCAATTCCCGTGCTTGTCTTCATATCACATAAAATGGGATGACGGCTGCTTTCTTCAGTTGAAGTTGGCATCTTGAATATTAGCAATTCAAAAAAGTACTTGCGATTGCTAACAATGTTGTGTCTTTCAGTCGCTTGGAGTTGGAAGAAATTTTTCACAAATATTCCTCTGTACATTATTTCAAAATAACCTAGGTTTTATTTTTCAGAAATTTTCAATTTCAATTATTTCAATTAATGATTTCCGGCTTACATGAGGCGCAATGTATAGCATTGGCGTTATCCTTCGTTGTCCACAAAATAACATTGGCTACAGAACGATTTACAATCCATCGAACAATGTGCGCATGGCCAGCAAGACATGCAATATGCAGCAATGACTGTCCTTTATCTGATACTATGCAAATATCTGCACCACCTTTCTCGATCAAAAGTCTAACACAGTTAAAACATCCTCCTTGAATTGCATAAAAGACTGGTGTACAGCCTGTAGCATTAAATTATTAATTATTATTTCTGCTATTAATCTTTAACTAA